TCTCTCTCTCTCTCTCTCTCTCTCTCTCTCTCTCTCTCTCTCTCTCTCTCTCTCTCTCTCTCTCTCTGTCTCTCTCTGTATCTGTATCTCTATCTCTCTCTCGCGAGGAGACGCGCGCGATTCTTTTGCTCAACAAGTCGTGCCTTTTCTAGAGGGAACTCGTTACACGGATGGAGCCAATTAGAATCGAGGGACACCTTTTCAATGTTTGTCGCACACGCGCGGTAATTATGGGAACCGCTTCTTCTTCCCATTCGGATTAATACGAACGTCTATTAATTAGGCGTGACTGTGATATTCAGCGGGGGTGAATGGGGTGAGGGCAAGGGAAGGGTGGATGGATGGGGCGGATGGATGGATGGATGGATGGATGGATGGATGGAGGACGCAGCACGGGTTGCTGGCGCGCGTTTCGTTGAGTGTTCTGCTTGCGCGACGAAATTATTTACTTTGTTTTTCTTTTTCTTCTTTTCTTTTTTGAGCGTAGATTTTTCGAAAGGACGAATTCTTGGAGAGCGATATCGTTTTGGAAGTAATTTTTGGAAATGATGCTTTCCTTTCTCCAGCGAAGAAATAAATTATAGAACGATTTTAAGATTAGAAAAGGAATTTAAGAATTTTTTAAATTTAAATCTTAGAATGGTAGGATTTTTACTTGTCGTTAAACGTGGAATTTTTGATAAATAATAATTTGGTTTCATCGATGATAATTCGTAAGGGGAAGGGAAATATCGAAATAGCTTTTTCGAAAAAATGAATTCTTGGAGAGCGATATCGTTTTGGAAATAATTTTTGGAAATGGTGCTTCGATGCTTTAGCTTTCGCCAACGAAGGAATAAATTATAGAACGATTTTAAGATTAGAAAAGGAATTTAAGAATTTTTAAAATTTAAATCTTAGAATGGTAGGATTTATACTTGTCGTGGAATTTTTGATAAACTGGTTCCATCGATGATAATTCGTAACGGGAAGAGAAATATCGAAATAGACGGGTTTCGTTCGGGAAAAGAATAGAAGATCGATTAGAATTGGGAATAGCATCGAACGACACTTGCGCGTCTCGCAGATAAAATAGATTTACACAGGTGTGGACGATACGAGGTATATTTTTGAAAATAGCACGGGACTAATCTCAGAAGTCGTACGCCGTTAAATGGGAAAAGATCTTTGTGCGAAATTCTCGCTCTGCTTTTTAATCCCGCCAATAATCGTAAATACTTTTTCTAATCTTAAATCGTCGACTAATCAACGTGTATTCAGTAGATATATACGTATATATCTTTTTATCGGTGTTAATATTTGAAGAGAATGTTATTTTTGTATGTTAACGGCAAAGTTGAAATTGGAAGATAGATGACGTGAAAATTGGATTGTTCCAGTGACCGGAAGTGCCTAAAGGCCCGAAGATTCTGCCTTCGCAGCAGCTGGGCGCTGCGGTCGCTCCATGGCCGGGCGCCACCGGCCTCCTAGCCTCTGTCACCGCTGACGACATGGCACACAAAGGTAAATTTCTTCCTTCCTTTTTTTTTTTCTTTCGTAATTAAAAAGACAAAAAGTAGACAAAGTGCGTATATAAGTTAAAAAGATATCTAAAACTTTAATGGCTAGAGCAGGTCGAAAACGTACAAATCTAAAATAAATATCCAAAGCACGGTATGGTATGTAACGCGCTATACAAATTCGGGTTATTTATTTATTTAAGTGATCGCTAGGCCATGCCAATTTTTATTTCCTATGTTTTATCAAATAGAAACGAATATCTATTTAAGCTCTATTTTTTTCATCGTATAAATTTAATTCTACGTAAATAATATTGAATGTATATACGTTATTATATAAAAACTCAAAGTTCATTTTCTTTATACTACACGTAGTTTTCATTACGTAGTTTCGAGGGAAGATAGTTACTAGGCTCACGGATGATCTCAAATTTATTCTCAGAAGATCGAATATACGATTTTTTTTTAATAATTTAATTCCACGTAAATAAATAAATAATACGTATTCAATGACCATTTTCGAGAGAGAATAGGCTCACGGATCTTAAATTTATTCTCAAAAGATCGAATATAATACGTAGAATATTTAGTGACTACTTTCGAGAGAAAAAGGCTCACAGATGATCTCAAATTTATTCTCAGAAGATCGAATATACGATTTTTTTAATAATTTAATTCCACGTAAATAATACATAGAATATTCAATGACTACTTTCGAGAAAGAATAGGCTCACAGATGATCTCAAATTTATTCTCAGAAGATCGAATATACGATTTTTTTAATAATTTAATTCCACGTAAGTAATACGTACATATTCAAATAGGCTCACGGATGATCTCAAATTTATTCTCAAAAGATCGAATATACGATTTTTTTTAATAATTTAATTCCACGTAAATAATAAATAGAATATTCAATGACCACTTTCGAGAGAAAAACGCTCACGGATCTCAAATTTATTCCTCCAAGATTCGAAAAGCCCGCCCTTTTTCAAATTTCCCGCCACGCGCAACAACCTCGCGGAATTTAGCGAGAACTCGCGAAACACGGGAGCGATCGAATTAATATCGTGCTTGCTGCATTGGAGAGGGAGGGAGGAGGGGGTGGGGTGGGCGAGGAAGCAGGAAATAGCCGTGAAGCCGAATCGAAACGTCCGAGGAATGGAGAGGGGAGGGGGGGGGGGCCTCGGTTGATGGCTAAGGCGTTTAACCCCATTAGTCCTGAATGGAAGTTCACCCGGGTTCCTCTCTCTTTCACCTCGCCTTTCCAAGTTTCCCTCCTCCCTTCCCTCTCTTAACACGGAAAAGGGGTCCAAAGAGGATGAACAGACGACGTCTCAAGGCTTTCCAAACCCGACACCGGCTCCTGCCCTGTGAAACTGGCTGCTGCTCACTTCACGTATTGATTTCCATTCTCTTCTACGCCTTCCAGGCGAGCCTTCCTTCCTTCCTTCCTTCCTTCCTTCCTTTACGCGCCGTGGGCCGAAAATCGTCGTCGTTCCGCCGCTTCTTCGCGCAGATTTGGGACGAAGACGACGAAGCTCGCTCGATTTCCAAGTGGAAGAATATTTTATTTATCGTTGCGAGAAAAAGAATTTTCACGTTCTCATCCATCTCGATCTTTATCCATCGAGCGAGGAAGAAAAGAAATTCGAATCGAGAAATTTATCCTTCTTCTCCGAAAAAAAACGGTGTTTGAACGAAAAACAGGCGAAACGTAAAATTTAATATCCGTCGTTTTCCATATAGAGGAAAATCTATTCAAAAATCTGGAGAGAGGGATCAATCAAATCCTTTCGCTTTCTTAGCTTTCTACAAGATCGGAGGAGGAGGAGGAGGAGACAGATATCCCTCCTCGGTTTTACGATCTGGAGGAGAAATTAGGTCGTTCCCCTGCACGGGGATGGCAAGGTTAAATGGTCGACAGGGATTAAATCGTGGAAGAATCTGCTCGAAAATCCACGAGTTATCGGCCGAGCGCGGTGAGGTGGGGTGCGTTAAGTTTACCTCGTCGAATCGAAGCCTCGATCACCGTCGGATCGTCGACTCGGTTTTGATCGATCGTCTTTCCTCGATTTCCTCCTTGTCCTCGACAAATCCAGCCCTCCTCCTCTTTTCTTTTTCTTTCATTCCACGGAATGAATCGAATTTCGAAATTTCAAATTACTCTTCAGAGTAATAAAAACTTTTAACTTTCTTTCTCGAGATTTTTTTCTCTTTCGAGATTTTTTTGCATCCGATCTGGATAGATTTTAGATTCGAATGACGTTGCATTGCGTTCGGATTTTTATTTGATCGAAATGGAATCGAGCGTTAAAATGATTCGATGATTAATCGAAAGAAGGGTAGAAAACGATTAAACAGCCCCTCGTTCGAATAAATCTTCGAATCTTTGATTGTGCTTACATTTTTTCATTCTTACTTTAAAAGATATCGTCTCTTTAAAAGATATTTTACAAATAGGAAGGATATTTGATCAAGCATTTTTTCGAATGGCGGTCTAAATTTCAAAACTTTTGCCATTTATAATAATCGAACGAAATAATATAATCGTGCATAAGGATGTTACAAAATCGACGATACGCAAGAAAACCGTAAGCAGAATCGAATATATTCCTCCAAATACGCAGAGAGATGTCACAGAGATATCGACTCGTCCCATGGATCGTGCCCCGTTCAAGCGAAACACATGAAAGGAGAGGGGCGGAAGTAGAGAGTATCGCACGATTTCCGGATACACACGCGTTCGAGCATTGGAAACGCGTCGACAGACGAATCGTCTTCGGTTCACCAGTGGCTGCTCGAGGGGCCGGCAGTTAAGATTGGGGGAGGACTCGAAATAAGAATAAAAGGGGGAGTCCTTCTTCGTTCTTATATGGTAATCAGGGGGAGAGGTGAAAAAAGGAGAGGTGGTGGCTCGAGGCATCGATCTGAATTCTGAATTCCGTGTAGACGGTGACGTCGCCAGGAGGACGTTTTTTCCCTTCTCACTGTATTCCAGGGAATATTACGTTCGAGATCAAAGATATATATATATATATCACAATCTCGTGATTTTTGTGAAGAAGAATTTCGTGAAGAATTTTCCAGGCGTTCGAATAATTTTTCGTGATCGTGATAAAGGGTTGAAGGATTTTTCGATATTTTCGGCAATAATTAATCCTCTTCCTAAATTTCTTCCTTGAATGCGGAAAAAATCTCGTTTCTAATTCCCGTGCGATCATCACGACGTCGAAGTGTTTCTCGGCGAATATAAGGAGACGAGCGTTTTCAACAGCCGAGAAAGAGATTCTCTCTCTCTCTCTGTGTCTCTTTGCAGAAGCGTCAGGGTACAAAAGGAACGAGCTGCTTCTTCTTCGCCTCGACTAAGAAACGGGAGCAGCAACTGTTCCCTGTGCAAACACATCGTTTCCACCGACGACTCTTCTAACTGTTAAACGAAGTAAAAGAAGAAGAAGAAGAAAAAAAAAAAAGAAAAAGAAGAAAGGGAGAGAAAAAGAGAGAGAGAACGAAAAACAGAGACAAAGAAGTAGTATCGGAAGAAGAAGAGGAAGAAGGGGTGGAGGAGCAAAAGGAAGGTATCCTCCTCTCTCTCTCTCTCTCTCTCTCTCTCTCTCTCTCTCTCTCTATCGAGAGAGCTTTGAAATTCCACGGCGACACCCCTTTCCCCCTGCTGGAGGGAAAATAAAAAAGGGTGTCGGTATTTTTATGCGGAGAGGGGGCAGTTACGAATTAATTGAATGACACGGAGGGAGAGGGAGGGGTTGCTCCGTCCCTCGGCTGAGGAAATATGGCTGGATGCGGGGGAGGGGGATCAAAGAAGAAGCCTTTCTATCTGTTTTACGTGACTGTCGGGCCATTTTAAACGGCCACCCATTCCTCAGATTCCACTTTTCTTCCTCCTCCTTTTTTTTCTTTTTTTTGCGAGCAACTTTCGAGAGAACAACTCCAAACGTAATATTTAATTTCTTACATTATTACGAAACGGATAATTAAGGAGGATAATCGAACCATTGGAACTATCATAGAAGAATATATATATATTTCTCTATCCCTCCTCAAAAAAATCTTTCAACATTCGTCACATATTCTCCCCCCCTCTCTCTCTCTCTCTCTCTCTCTCTTAAAAAAGAAGAAAAACTTAAAAATATCCATCGACTCGTCCATCGAGTTCCAAAAAAGAGAGACTCTCGAAAGACAGAGAAGAAATCCTCCCCTCCCCCCTCCAATAAGCATCCCCTTCGAATCCAATATATTATATATATATATATATATATACATACATACATACATATATACATATATACGGTAAACCGACGAAGATAGGAAGCGAACAGTCTTGCATCAAGTGTATTCGACTGTAAAATTCCCTCTTCAAACAGAAACGGGGGGGGTGGCTGGCACATTTGGGCGGCGGCCGGGTTGGAACGGTCCGAAAAGATGAGAAGGCCTTTGAGGAGGAGAAGGGGGAGGGGAGGAGGAGAGGGGGAGGGGAGGTGACCCAAGAGGAATTCCTAAGCCAGCCCGGTATACGCGGAAACGGAGGGAAAGGGGAGGGGGAGAGTTGTACACCGCGAGAGAAAATTCGGCGTTGTAACAAGCGGCACGCGTACGAAATGGGTCGATGGATTAGATTAGATCAGATTGTGAAAGCGGTGGTTCTTGCTCTTCTCGAAAAGCTTAACGGTGCATCGCAAGCATTGGACGAGGGAAAATTGTTGAACTCGCGAGGAGGAGGAGGAGGGGGAAAAATATACGACTCGATATTTTTTTGAGCGGGAAAAAATGAGGCGAGAGAATGGTTTTCGAGATTTCCTCGAATCGCGAGAGGGAATTTTTTCGACTCGGCTAATAAGATTAGAAGTTAAATTGACAATGTGAAAGAAGGAGGAGGAATTGTAAGGAAGATTGGGAGGGGTAATGAATTGGGAGGGACGATGTTTTACTCTCTTGTTTTTTAACGAGGAATGTATGAATCGATCGTGTTGATTGGGCAAAACAATA